GTCCTAATTTTTCTCAAGATTTTTTTATTTGAATTTTTTGTTGTTTTTATCTATTAACAAATTAAAATAAGGTTAAAGTTAGTTTAGTCTTTTAATTATAAAATTGTGGTATGAATAGAACATATTAAAAAAATAAACCTCCTTTTTGGAGCCGCTTCTGAAGACCTCCACCATGGATCTCCGTCGATTCTCCTCCTCTGTTGCCAGCCGTTAACTCTGGAGTGAAGTTTGTCCGATCTGAAGCTTCAGCTAGACCTCTTTACGCCGGCTACCTTCTTTTGCCGCTTTACCATCTCATCGGTGATCCAAGCGCGTCTCTCCATGGTCTCTGTTCGTTCGGTACCACCGGATCTGCTGTGCTTGGTCTCGCCGTGGCCGGATCTGTCACCTCTGGTGATGTCTCAAGCAAACCCTCTGGATCCGCCGGAGCCTCCCGACCCGTCGGACAGCTGCAGTCCTATGTGGACACGTTAGGTTCCGACTACGACCTCCATCGAAGTCTCAACGACCCCTTGGCCATCTGCAACTATAGATTCGTCGGATCTACTCCTTGCATCCCCGGAGACCTTGCTCACCGTAGCTCTACTTTCTAACTCCCCTTTTGCGAGTCTTTCCCTTGTCGACCCTATCACATGTTTCAGCTCTTCTCACGACTCACTATGCATCAACTATCATTCACTATTCGTTTCCATGCGATTCCTTACTGCCAAGTGCAGCCTTTTGCAATGCTTGCAACCCCTGCCCCGCTTTGGTCTTTTTCCAGGATCTAACCGCAAGCATCATTCGACCAGGTTCAATTATTGCTTCTCGTGCTCTTCAACTCACGCTTGTAGCCGATTCTATAGTGCTGATAATGAGAAGTTTTTAGACAGCCCCTATAGTTGGATTTGTGAACCACTGTTCAAATTCCCTCTTGTGAACTCTCGAGGTTTAACCATCAGAATCATTCATCCTTTCATTGGTAGTGTTATAGACATGGTTCAACTTTGTTTCCCGACTAACACAGATTTACTAGGAAGTTTATGTCTTGTAGTTGTAGGGACCGAACCTATGCTAAATGATTCCCCTAGATTGTTGTTTCTGTTATTGGCTGTGACTTTCGCTTCTCATAGTTTGTGGGATTCGATTTTACCTCGTATTGAGGGTTTTACTAGCATGTGTAGTTTCGCTGATTTGATATATCACTCGCCTTAGTGCGATCCATTACTGCGATATGCAGGTTTTGTTCTCTGATTTTCGGGAACCTTCTTTATATGGACTTCTATTGTCATGTTTGCTCTGTTACGGAGCATTCTTTTCTCCTAATATTTCCATTTCTGGTGAGTGGTTTTATGGTAGGTATCTTTGTGTCGAGGTTCATAATTGCTTTGATTATCACCTGGTTTAACGGCTCAACAAATCAGTCTTCCTCTGCATTTGTAGTCTACACTCCGATTGTTTATGCTGCCTTTGTTGCAGTTTCAATCTCGGGCAATAGATCATCTAGTGTGGTCTTTGATTCCCCGAGCGTCGTCTTACCGTCTAGCAACAATGGCTTTGAGTTCTTCTACGGCTTTAGTTGTTCAAACGTCTGGCTCGTCTCTATCTATGTTCTCAATGCTTTATATTTAGCTTTTGTTGCATTGTTCTTATTAGCCTTGATGGCATTGTTTCCATGGTTTGTAGACATTTTCTCCTTTAATGGAGAATAACTAATCTATGAAAAATCTTTCGTGACCAAAAAAAAAGAATAGAACATATTAAAATGTGTGCTATATTTCGATTTAAAACTTAATTTGATGGTATATATGAAAATTAAACGAGGACATAAATGTTTTTTTTGACTATACACTAATGGTATTAATGGAACATTGATATTTTGGTGATAGATTTGGATGAAAAATTTCATTTGGTGGTATCCTAGAGAATCAATCTTTAATAAAACAACATGTTGATATTCATCCACTTTTTAATCAATACTTTTTCAATCTTTTCTAATGGCAACTTCAACAGTTGGTGTTTACATCATTGTTTTGGTCAATAACATGAAATACTTGAGTTTGGACGGTGACCCATCAAGGATACTAATACAAACCATTATAATATATTTTCGTTTAATTGTTTCATTTTTAAGAAACACTAATGCACCATTTAAAAATTAAAATTATGTGTCTTTACGGGTTTAAAACGATTGATTTAAATTTCTGTTACTTGTTTTACGTTTTCTTTAGATAATTAAGTTTTTTATTGTCCTATTACAAATGATAATTTTATTAACTACAAATGATAACTATCTATAGCAACTGAAAATAGGCGAACAATTATACAAATAACTTACCACAAGAATTCACGACAAGAGGTTTTACCAGCATTACACTTACGATAAACAATTTTACCCTTTAACACAAGTACTTGCACCACACAAGAAAATTCTGATAAGTTTGCTACTATAGTTTGCAAAACTCACATTCTCTTGAAATCGAATCTCAAATACTTGATCAAACCAAAGAGCTTCAATTAACCAATTAATCAAGTAGATTGTTATACTTAAAAGTAAAATTAGTACGGGGTACGACGGAACGAGACAAGTGCAAAACAGTCGGAATAGTAACGAAATTATATATTATACGGCTCGCCCCACACCATCTTCACCTTAAAAGTCTTTGATACACSTAAATTTCTCCATATTAATAACAAAAGATAGGGACATGAAACATAGATACTGAAAAAATAAAAATAAAAAAAGCAATTATAGATAACTTTGTTTTTCTTTCCTCATTATATTGGAAGCCAGGCACTGTCTTTTCTCACTTGGCGACAATCTTAGTACTACAAACAAAATAGTTTGACCGGTCTTGGCTCATCCCTTTCTTCTCCCCCTTTAACCAACACTTCTTTCTCTCTCTCTAGTTCTTGAATTCAAGATTCAAAGACACATATGGCTGATCCATCAGGTAGTAACAAAGAGATGGTTATGAGAGAGTATAGGAAAGGGAATTGGACGGTGGCTGAGACTCTGGTGCTCATAGAAGCCAAGAAGATGGACGAACAGAGGCGTATGCGGCGGTCTACCGGCCTTCCGCCGGAGAAACAACCGGAAAACCGGAACAGACCGTCGGAGCTCCGGTGGAAGTGGATAGAAGAGTATTGTTGGAAGAAAGGATGTATGAGAAACCAGAATCAGTGCAACGACAAATGGGACAATCTCATGAGGGATTACAAGAAGATCAGAGAGTACGAGAGATCGAGGGTAGAATCGTCTTTTAACACCGGCTCTACTTCTTCCTCTTCTTCTCCGGCGACGTCGTACTGGAAGATGGAGAAGAGTGAGAGGAAAGAGAAGAACTTGCCGAGTAATATGTTGTCTCAGATATACGAAAGGTTGTCTGATCTTGTCGAGAAGAAGGGTCTACCTTACTCCGCCTCCGTCGCCGGTAACGGCAGCTATTCCGGCGGCCAGATCCTAAGTGTGTGCAAACAAAGTTTAGGAGTTGTAGCTCCGATGATAGCTCAGCCTCTGCATCAGATTCCGGCTACTCTTGCATTACCTCTTCCTTCACCACCACCGCCGCGGCCGCGACCTCTAGTCATATCACAACCTCCGCCGCTTCAACCTCCACCGTCCACATTTCACGTTGAGCCTATACAGCCCATAGTAGGTACCTTCCGTTTTTTTCTCTCTTCTTTAAACTCCTCAATTAATTACCCCAAAATTTGGTTTTTCATTTTGGATATTTTTAAATTAAATTTCGACATTCTAACAAATACACTAACACATCTCAACTTGTCTCAATCAGTCCAATTATACATTAACTCTCCAAACTTTACACTACCATGAATATAAAAACGAAACCCTAACTTTGCTTGCGTGTGTATATACATTTCGTTCTAGACTCTAGAATACTCTACCATTACTA